TGGAATTCCATCACCTCCACTAGCTTTGTTCATAGTGATGCTTCCTAAGGCCCACTTGACTTCACATTCCAGGATGCCTGGCTCTAGGTGAGTGATCACACCATCGTGATTATCTGGGTCATGAAGATATTTTTTGTATAGTTCTTCTGTGTATTCTTGCCATCTCTTCTTAATATCTTCTGCTTCTTTTAGGTCCATACCATTTCTGTCCTTTATTGAGCCCATCTTTGCATGAAACTGTTTTCCTCTTTCTTTGCATTGATCACTTAGGAAGGCTTTCTTATCTCCTTGCTATTCTTTGAAACTCTGCAATCAAATGGGTATATCTTTGCTTTTCTCCTCTGCCTTTCACTTCTCTTCTATTCACAGCTCTTGTAAGGCCTCCTTAGACAACCATTTTGCCTTTTTGCATTTCTTTTTCTTGGGAATGGTCTTGATCCCTGCCTCCTGTACAATGTCATGACCTGTTTTTAAAAACCTTAGGTAAATATGTTATCCATGTAACCATGTCACTTTAATTTTCTGATTTGCTGTCTAAATTTAAACTCCTACCTCTCTAAGATGTAATTTCCTCATCTGTAATCCCTGCCCATCTCACTGGTTTGTGGAGAGGATGAAATGAGATGGTAGGTGGAAAAATAATTTGTGAGGAGGAAAGTACAAGAATAGTTTCATTTTCTTCTGTGCCATCAGGATAGGCCTTGAGGATAATAAAGTGATACCTGTGATTTACCATCACAGTGAGCTGGCAAGCATGTATTTAACACTGTCAGTGTTCAGTTCCATGATAGGTACTCTGGAGGTAACAGTAAGTATGAGGCTCAAGCCCTACCTTCAAGGGATTTGTGATCTGGTTGCAAACAAGGTACATAAATCATGAAAGGTTTTATAACACAAATGGTAAATTAAAATAATCAAATAGAGAGGCAACTCATTGCACCGCCTGATCAACCAACTAAAATAAATCTTGCTCAGTACAGATGGCAGATTGTCTCAGTATCATTTATTGAAGAGTCCTTAACTTTTATCCACTGTTGATAATGCAGTCTGTTTCATATATCAAGTTAACTTACATATGGATCTGTTTCCAGGTTCCTTATTCTGTTTCATTGTTTTATAGTCTATCTATAGGCTAGTACCATATTTTTAATTAATATAAGGTGTAATTTCTATAAGTCTTACTGAGGTTTGAGCATCTCTCTTCCTCCTAACATTTGGAACCACTTGAGAGAGGAGATATGAGACAGACTAACAGAAATCAAAATGTCAGTTTTATTACTGATAAAGCCACTTGGAAAATGCAGCTTTAGATCTATTATAAAAGTGCTTGCAAAGACATCGCTCAAAATTAAACCTACTTTGCAATCAGGATGTGAACTGGAGAACCCCAGGCTTCCCTGCCAGCAAGCAGCCCTTAACTATGCTGTAGAGAGCTGTCCGGTGACTCCTGCAGAAACCCAGATGGGGCTAAGCCAAGAATACCCAGGTTTTATCTTTCCCTCTAAAGTCACCAATCAGAAAAGACCCTCTTCCCCTAAGAGCAAGTAAGTGGGAGGATGGAAAGAGGCCAAGAGTGTTACTCTTAAATCATGTTCCTTCAAAGCAAGGGGAAAGGAAGATTTCCCCAACTTTCTTGATATCTGGTCTGGTGAGGCTCCTACTTATGGTCCTTCTTCAAATCTCTTTTGGCTTTTCTTGATTTATTAATTGTATTTGAGTGATTTGACAGCTTTATGATATTGAATCTTTCTGTGAACATGGTATCTCTTTGTATGTTTTTTTTTTTAAACACACCTCAGTGAAGTGTTAAAACTTTCTTCATAAAGGCCTTACACGTCTTTTATTATATACTTATTCTTTGGTAGCTTACCATTTTGGTTGCTGTTATAAATTTTTTATTACAGCATCCAACTTCTTTGTGGCTAGTATAAAGGAATACCACTGATTTTGTATTTTGGAGAATGTATCCAGCAACCTTACTAAACATTAATTACAATAGTTTATCTTAGATTCTTTTGAGTTTTTCTGTGTATACAATCATTTTTTTGAATGATGTTATTTCTTTCTCTTTTTACAATTTTTATTATTTTTTGTTCTCATGTTCTATGGAAGAGGAGCAACAGTAGTGGATATTAGAGATACAGTAATATAATAACAGTAGTCTTATTCCTGACTTTAAAGAGAATGCTTCTTTTCACCATTAAGTATTCTATTACAGGTTTAGATGTTCTTTATTAGCAAAAGGAAGTTTCTTTCTATTCCCAGCTCTCTAATAGTTGTTTTTCTTGAAATTATGAATGTGTGCATTTTTAATTTTATAAAATGCTTATTATGTTTATTGATATAATACTATATTTATTCTTCTTTACTGTGTTAATAGTTAATAACATATTTTCTGTTGTTAAACCATCTTTGCCACCTGGAATATACTCTACTTGATTGTAATGTATTATTTTTTGTATAGTATTGAATTTCATTTGCTAATTTTTTAAATTTACTTTATTGAAGTATAGTTGATTTACCATGTATCAATTTCTGCTTTACAGGAAAGTGATTCAGTCATACATATATATATATGTTCTTTTTCATATTCATTCCATTATGGTTTGTTACAGGATACTAAGTATAGTTCCCTTTGCTATACAGTAGGACCTTGTAGTTCATCCATTCTACATATAATACATACAGTGGACATGAGTTGAGCAAACACTGGGAGATACTGAAGGATTAGGGGAGCCTGCTGTGCTGTA